TGCTAGTTTATTGTATACATAGTGGTGTTATTAAAAAAAACCACTTAAATTCAAAGCTGTAGAATTGTTGATTGAGTCCAGTGTAAAAAGTTTACTAAATGTTACTATAGGACCATGTGGACTCTGTAGGGATTTTTTCAGGCCCGGGATGTGATCACATTAATGGCATGTCTGTGTTGACTCCCCGAAAGAGAAGTAAACTTAGCCATGGACAATAGTCAAACCGACCACAATGTTACGCGTGTAGACCTGCTGGAGATCGTAGAGACACCATTGGGTGTTCACCATGTTTGAACGAAATTGTTCACTTTCTCTCTCTGATTTGCCAACTTTGCGAGAGTATTCTATTAAAACTGTTCCTGGTGGAATTTAGAAACTAGCTTGAAGACTTACTACAATTATTGAGGATAGAGCACAAATTTAACTCTTTACAATCCATCAAAATCATTTGTTACATTTGTGGCCTCGTTATTTTCGTACTACGTTCAGGCCAAAATGAAATGTCTTTGTTGAGTTTGGAGGCGAGATTTTCCAGCAGACTGTCGACATTCATATTGGACAAACTGGGCCCCCAACCCTCTGACGGCCTTGATTGTTTCCAAATGCGGCTTAATTTATTAATAAGCTAATTGGGACTTCTACCAAAGTAATTAGCAAACTCCTTTCATTTCATATTCAGATAAAATTTGAACATGCTTTTGAGATTGAAACCAAGAACACAACAGAATCATTGTTCAGATGTTTCCTCGATCGTTACTTACAACATGCTCACTATGGAACGGCTTACTACGTGTACTAAGTTGTACGATAAAGGTTACCATTTTTATTTTCGGATGAACTGTCCCTTTCTTGGTAGTTACTTCCCTACATTTCCAAATTAACGATATTTTCATGTCGCAGTTGATTCGGTATTCAAGTCCTTGCACCATTTCTGATGACTGCAGCCGGAAAATCGTAAAACACGGGTTTGCCAAAGATGCTGGTTGATGAAGACTCGAAACGCGGTTTTCTGGTCGACATCAGCAGTTCATAAGGAAATATGTATTTCTTTGTGTGACAAGATCATTTTTTTTTATTATGTTCATAAGTGTGTCTTATAGTGTTAGGAGTAACAATTTTGATGAGACTTGGGTATCCTTTTGCTTTTTGTAAGGTTCTAAATTCTTGTTCTTCGTTTAGTTTAAGTGCTACATTTTAGCTTCCTCGAACGTTCCTGGCGACAGTTCTGACAGTCCTGGTAATGACTGACATAGTAATCGTCACCTCATGGTTTTTGATGTAAACATGCTGGTATGTATCAATTCTATACTTCAGAATACTACTAATGCAGACATTGGAACTTTTAAAGCTTTACTCACCTAGCTAAGGAAGCTGAACGGATCAACATTTATAAATGTAAGATTAAAGACAAAAAACAACAACATGTATTTATATCAGGCATACGACAAACAAAAATGATTTGTTATTGAAAGTATTTTATTTCATACACGACAAACAGAATCCAACATCAATTACTCTGTAGAAAAATGTTCCAAAGCAGAATTTTTGTATTTGTATTTCTAGAATTGTTTACGTTTATACTATGACATACAAAATTACACTTATTGCACCAGGTCTTGGCATGGATTTAACAGTATACAAAAGTATAGGATTACAGTGACCTGACTGAAGCTTCATACATTACTGTGTTACCCATAATCGTCTATATTCAGTACGTGTGACGGTATCCGTAACCTCAAGTAATTACCACAAGGGTACTATACTGATGTATGACTTGGAAGTGTCCCATAGTTTCGTAAATAAATACAAATTGTGAGTATCAGTACAACTTAGAAGTATTGATAGTCTCAGAGAGCTATGGCGGGTTGTTATGTCTCTTTCCCCAAAGCTAAGACCGCTAGTGCCATCGTGTACTGAACAATAGATTAAGCCGAATTCAAGGCCATGGTCACGATAAAAACTCAATAAAATGCGTAGTTCGCGTTATTTCTATGAATTTAAAACAAATAATATACTGTATGCAACACAAGATCGTACAACAAGTTTTGAAAGGATTTAATTTTCATTACTACTGCCTGCTTCATGGCGCTACCTACTTTCTTACAAAACACACATCTTGTTTAAGTTTTTCCTGCACCTACATATGTATGAATGGCAAAATGATATATAATTTTCGAATAGCATGTCTTACACGTGTCTTCCTACATTTCAAACAAATGAGTCTGTCCTCAACGGTGTATTTTCCTCGTATTTATGGTAATATATTTGCGATAACACTTCCTGTTTTTTGCTTGGCCTTTTTTATTCTGACGCAACAATCCCACATTTTTTTGTATTTTATAGATAACATTACTAGTGCCAATTGGAGGGTAAATAAATTCATAAATATCTTTTAAGAGGATGTCTTATCTGCAAAGCGTAGCTGCACTGTACACGTGTACAGTGATTTGTTGACATGATTCCGTAGATGATAAATCAATAGGTAGTTATTAAAATATAAATAAAGTGTACCTTTGATTTGAAAAATATTCTCTTACTTAATAAAAGAAAAAGATCACATACCTAAATATAAAAAACAAGGTTACCGCGAGCCCGTCACACATTGAATGAGCAGTTGTTTGTATGATTGAAATATATGAAGTATTTGTGAGTAATTGACATTAAAAGAGAAATCATTCAACATAACTGGTTGATCAATGAGTGCAATACAACATCATGGAACCCATGCATCGCATTAATGAAACCAAGGGGAATAACTCCACACATTATGGTCGGATAATGGCGGTTATCGAACTTGTCCGAGCTTTCACCTTGTTGTGAAGTTTGTAGTTAATCTGTTAATAATTACTCGAGATATCGAGCGGACACTGTTTCGGCAAGTCCATAAAGGGGCATAACTCCACAAATTATTGTCGAATAATGGCGGTTATCTAACTTGTCTGAGGGTTTATGGGAATTAACCTTGTTGTGAAGTTTGAAGTTAATCCATTAATAATTACTCGAGATATCGAGTGGACACTGTTTCAGCAAGTCCATAAAGGGGCATAACTCCACAAATTATGGTCGGATAATGGCGGTTATCGAACTTGTCCGAGCTTTCACCTTGTTGTGAAGTTTGAAGTTAATCCGTTAATAATTACTCGAGATATCGAGTGGACACTGTTTCAGCAAGTCCATAAAGGGGCATAACTCAACAAATTTTGGTCGAATAATGGCGGTTATCTAACTTGTCTGAGGTTTTATGGTAATTAACCTTGTTGTGAAGTTTGAAGTTAATCCGTTAATAATTACTCGAGATATCTAGTGGACACTGTTTCAGCAAGTCCATAAAGGGGCATAACTCCACAAATTATGGTCGGATAATGGCGGTTATCGAACTTGTCCGAGCTTTCATGGTAATTAACCTTGTTGTGAAGTTTGAAGTTAATCCGTTAATGATTACTCGAGATATCAAGCGAACATCGTTCACATGCCCACCCGCCTGCCGCCCGCCCGCTCACGTGATAACATAATACGTCCCCGTATTCGACGGGCGTATAAAAAGGAATCTGAACGTGGATTTGAACTTGCACCGTTCACTTTGTCTGGTCACAAGTTAACTGCATTACACATTCGGCTACATCAGTCATAAACAAAGATGGAACACCTGTCTCAGTTTAAGAAACTCGCTCACCCATTTTTCATTATTTTGAGCACTTTCCCAAAGGAGGACCGCTTTTCCGGAATACGATCTGTTTTTGCATTTTATGTCACGGAATAAAAAAGCTTATTCAAATGTTGGTCCTCGGATGGGAAAGTGTTAAAAGTATTTTTTTAAGTCTGGGAAACCCCATCACTATCATAGATATAGTGAATATGGCTACATTGTCAGTATCATATTAACAATACCTAATATATCAGCAGTTCAAAACATCATATTCAATTGGTTTAATATCTATTCAAGGCATTTTTGCTGCTAGAAATTATTTACTCATTAATGTTTTTTCCCTGTTTTCATAAATGCAGACTTAGGAAAATATGGGCAGTTTTCTGCCATAGCTCTTTATATATCGCTGAAATTATTTGAAAACATAGAACATAGTTCCCATAAAACATTTCATGCCATAAAGTAAACTATTTTTAGTCCAAGATATTACAATCTGAGACAGGAGGCTTTACATAACGGCACATACCACCTACCTCGAAAGATATTTTAGTCCAAATCATGTCAAAAATTGTTATTTTCTTTTTTTACTGCACTGCCTCGATCAGTGATGAACAGGACTCTTGGTAAAAAGACATTAGTACATTAATAAATTTCAATACTTTCATCAAACAGAAACTTGAATATTTTGGCAAAAACAGTTCAGACAAAAATAGATAAAAAATTGAAAAAAAGAAGAAACTGGAATAATTCGGTTCTACTGCACTGCACTGTTTGACCTCTTACCTGGTCCTATATAGCTAATTTACATTTCAGCTGTTGATCTTAAACATATTTCAATTCATTTAAGATCTTACATGGCGTTTTAGTTGGACATTTGAAATTAATTACGCCTGTATCACCATGATATAAAATTTGCAAATTTCTTATTTGCATACATGAAACCGGGATGTAAATGACATCACACAACTCATAATGAAACTAATTTGGTTTTTGGCCTCCTACAAGGTCACATTTTCAATTTGAATTGATTTACGGGGAATTTCTGATATAAACATCATATTGATTAATTGGGGTCATCCTTCTCGGTGCAGATTTTCCCCGTTGTGAATGCGTAGATGCCCTACCATAGCAAAGAAATAGCCAAAATAGGGAGTTTTTGGACAGTAAGCATGCAGAAATGAAAGCCTCCGCATGCCACAATCAAAATTCCTTTCTCCGAATGAACACTGGTATGACAATGTTTAAGCATGTCGAATATTAATTTGTTTTTTGCATGCGGTGGCTTTCAAAAATTGAAGATTGTTTAATTGATTTCCCTCGAAATGGCCAAATTTCAACCAAATAGCACACAACAGACGATATTCACACATTTTATTATGAGAATGTGGGTTTATTTTTCTCTTTGTAATGCCATATCTTCTAAACCAGTTGTCCCATGAATATGAAATTGTATATTTGCATACTTCATTTATTCCAGATTACAAATATAACAACTAATTTCAAATCACTGGTGAGGCCTAGAATGCCCCTTAATGCCTTAATGCGGCTAGTCCTTTACAATGGAAGAGGTAAAACCCCGGATTACAAAAAATCAACCAAAAATAACCTAATATTATTGTTTTCACTTATATTAGCTTATATGAATTGGAATGAGTACGCTCTATCTGGGTAATTGTTGAATTTTTAGTACAAAGAATTTCAAAACTTCATGGAAAGATGACAGGTCCTTAAGCACACCCAAAGACAATCATCAAACAGAAAATAATCTGAAATAAATCATTGAAATATTTTTTTTCTGCTGTTGCCTTCTGCTCTCAAGAACCTTTCTCTTTAAGGAATTTTTGCTTATAACTTTCAAATACAATATAACTTTTACACAATGCTGTTTGCTTTATATATTACCTTGCCATCATTCTAAGGGTTCCCTAAAATAAATCCTTACATTTTATGACATTTATCTCCTTTCCCTGTGACCTTTTAAGTAGTTCAAGGTCATTCCTTTGACCAAAGTTGATAGCCGGTCATATCAGAACACTACTTGCAATCTACCATGGCTGCTGGCTTTTCTTGAGAAGATGTCGCTTGAAGACATTTGAAGCTTTATGCCTATGACCTTGAATATAGTTATTAGACAATGCAATAATAAGTTAAAAACCCTTTCCCAGTTAGTGACATGCATTATAATCTTCACCATATTCAGTACTATATATTTCATAATAACACAGCAAGTAGAGAACTTTTATTTCTTCATGATTATACACATTCACACACAGGAGAGTTCACACATAAGATCATTACCTCCCTTTAACAAACAGGTCTAAGTAAGTTCGTCGGTCATTCATAAAAGACAAACTATTTTCATGTTAGTACTTAACAGGCTTATTTCTTGCAACAAAAATAATATTGCAACAAGATATTGGTCACACGAAAACATAGACACCCACTGTAGGTGTTATATAGTTAGGATTCTGATCAATTTATCTCCAGTCCATAAGAAGTAAAGTGTAACATCATTTTACTTCCACTGGTGATCTTGAGGCAAGTGGCATCTAGAGGTGATCCTCTAGTTAATGGTCAGTATCAACAGCCACTGTACCAACATATAGTCTCTCTTTTCTCACAACCTTATTTTGTCGGACACTTCTGTAAAGGGAGGTAATCAACAGAATTGCAATATACTCAAGACTTTTTCTGTAAAGGGAGGTAATCCGTAGGAATTTCGAAAATTGAATTGAACTTTTAAAATCGTTTGATATTACTTAGTACATTGAACTTTGTAAATCAATACATTAATAAGGTTTATACATTTGATTCATCCAGTCACCATGAAATTCAATTCCTAGCTATGAAATAGGATTTGAATTGATAAACATCGTAAAGTACCTTTAAATAAGTGAAATGTATATTGGAAGGTTTTCTGTTTAAGTCTGTAAAAGCCTTTAAAATGCATAATTGAAAGTCAAAACACTCAAACAATAACAAATGCCATTTAAAAAAATCACTTAACAAATCACAAACCTCAATTCACTTCAGCTGAAGTTTACAAACACCTGGTCCAAGAATTGTCATCTTTTTAACAAGTAATTAGATTCCAAAAGATCATTTCTAAAAGTTAAAACAAAAACAGATTCCCTCCATCATCACTTTTTATCGCAAGTAGTAAAAAAGAATGAAAATATCTTTATATATAAATGTCAGGAGCACATTTTTTTCACATTTTTATCTGATGATTATTTTATTTCTAACCAGAAATCAGTCTTCCAATATAAGCAGAGATCTTTACATTTTCAAATAAGACTTGAATTAAATATCCATCTTCTATATTCTACTTACATGATTGAGATGCAAATGAGACTATAAAACCTACGGTTGTATTTGGAAGACTGACTATGATTGCGAGTTGAAATATTTTGAACACTGCAACTACCTGTACTCATAACAACACCTGTGCCAAGCATGAAATGCTTTAAAGATTTTCTCTTAATTAAAATGAAATCGGTAAGATCTAAATCATATATAGATGGTAGTCTCCTCCTCGCGACTAACATCTAAACTATGATTGCAAAAAATGTTTAGAATGTTTTTGGATAAGAATGTTCAAACCTCCAAAGCATGCAACATCTTAGATAAACCTAGAGTCAATACTACTTTTATCAAATGATATCTAAACCTAGTTACAACATGAAATTTATCAGATGCTATCGTCATAAAAAAATGACCACCTATGAATATAATTTTCTGACAATGGCCACTAGGGACAATCATTATTTGACAGGAAAAGAAACATAATTACTAACTGTGTATCACTACTGACTGGATATTAGCACCGACTAGATATTATTACTGACTGGGCAGTATCAGCTCCTATATAATCATCTGAAACAAGTTTCCATCTTTAATGATATTTATGAAACAAATTTCATTATAGTCAGACAGGCTGGAAACAACTTTATCCTATAGGCAACCAAAGCATGTACTATCTCAAATATTCTGTGAATGCTGAAACCGATAAAATCCTAGATAAACATCTCAATGCCTTTATCCTGAAATTGTGACATTAATGTTTTGTTGTTTTATTGTCCCAACGGGTGATGTTACATAATGAAAGTGTATGTATTGGTGATATAACACTGCATAACAGCCCAAAACTGAAATATATTTCTATCACGATAAAGCAGTTAGAATTTAAGCACAAAACGAACTTGGACAACAGTCTCTGATATAAAAAAAATCTAAAAAAGCAAGTCTTAATTTTGATGTGTTAAAATATAATCAATTACATCATATCTCAAAGCTCAAATTAAATGCTTTTTCCCCTTAAAAAAGCACAGTACAAAATTACAAATATTAAACTAATAGTTTCAAAGCTTAAGAAGTCTTCCTACCATACCTTTCAAACAGCAGCAAAATCCTTCAGAAATAATTATTGAAAAGGATTTAGTCACAAGTCTACAAAAAAACAAATTGTACATTGAAAAAAACCCACCCCAAAAAGCCAAGGGAAGTAATCTGGCGTAAAATTGTTGTACCCAGTCAATGGAAAAATCTTATTTTTATATTTGTACTAAGTCCTCAGTAAAGGGAGGTAATCCTTTAGTGATCTATGACATGTACCCAGACACAGATCTTCATAGACTATAATAGATTTACACTCACAACACGTTTTTTAAAAAATTCTTTATATATACTTTATACAAAAAAACAGGTTTTTCATTAAATTCATTTAATAAATCAATTATAAAAGTGCACTATATTAATGATATTACAAGGAAAGACAGTGTTTGTGGGCATACCGTCCATTCTTCACATCATTTACACCTGTTTACTCTTCAGCAGAAAGGTACCTAACATACTACAACAGAACAAAGTAGATAATACTGAGAATATTGGAACACAATATTTGTTAAGGATTTGTACAGGAGGCGGTTATGTTACAGAAAATCTAACTATTCTTAGCGTTAAACACAATACACCAAAATATATCTTCTCTAAAAGAACAGGGTTCAACCCTAAAATTACCTTATATACAGGACAGATTTTACCAAATGGCTGAAATAGCACTACAGCCATTGAGGGAACAAGCAACAGGCATATCTGTTATGTAATAACATGGAATACAGTTACTAACCAAAACGTTAACTGTTTGTAAGCTCTTCGTTACTTCGTGAGTATGACCGCTACTTGCAATAGGGCCTAGGCATTCTTTAGTGTGTAATTGTGTAATAGTTTCTAATTATTACCCTCACTTGCAAAGAACTTTTATTTCCATTTTCATTTTTTGCATAACCTATATATATATACTCGGGTATTTGTATAATGTACTAAAACCCCTATTACCTTCAGATGAATGCACTAATAACAGATTATGACGCTTGATTAACCATAACACCCCTTAGTTACTTTGGTAGACTCACCATACATTTATCTTGGTGAGTCCATTTTGGTCTACAGTGATGAGAGGGTTAACTACTGGTATGTACCTGACCTTATTGCCGAGTAGGTGTAACTGACATAAACAATGGACAACATGTTCCCATTAGACGAAAGACATGTCAACTGGAGCAAATATAACACATGTATGGAAAACAAATGTTGTAATTCTATCATTCACAAGCATATACTGACAGCACTTTACACAGGAGTGAAGAATCACGATCACACATCAGATATCACTAGGAACACAATCAATAAATACCCAGATCAAATAGAATGATCTTTGTAAACTTTCATCTCCTCCTCCATATAAATATCAGACATAATAACCATAATTATGACATTCATAAAACATGCAATTATATTGGAAAGTCTATATCCTGTTAGAGCACCCAGACCAATAGATTTCTATGTACAAAAAATGTCAATGTGAAAATAAATATTTCTCCTATTAAGAGATATACAGGATACACTACATGTAGGTAAGTCCTCTCTCAGGACAACTTGCATTTCATTTTTGGTGCTGATTCTAAAAAAGGCAATTACTTTCAGGAAATATTTTTATTACATGTACAATTGTTTAAAACTCAAATTGGCTATATTGATTACCTACTGAAGCCCCTCTTTATACAGTAGGAATGCTATTTGTTTACTGTATAACACTAACCATGACTGTGAGCCTTGTGTGTTCAACACATGGGATACTCTGATGTTATCTACTAACAGTACAGTGTATATAGGTATCCAGTGTTTAAAACCTCACCAGAGGTACAAGAAGTATATCCAAAAGATATATTGAACACATTTCAATTGGAATTATATTAAAGACATTAGCAGATCTTTCTATTTGTAGACATTGTTTTAATGTCAAACATTTTGTATTCCTTACTAAAAATTGCCCTATACATGTATGGCTCGATGATTTAGTCTATTCTTGTTTAATTTGAAAGAATTTCACACCGCTGATATCTTTACCCTCTCAATTTGATGACGTTAACATAAAGCAGTCTACGTTTGGTAATACGATTGAATATCTAGAAGGGTGTTGTATATGTGCTATGGGGTACATATTTGATACAAAATGTACCTGACTTTCTATAAGCAGATCCTCAGTATTTATAGAAGAACATATCTTTTTATTAGTGATGATTATAGTTCCCTTCAGTTGTTTATTTTTCATTCACTTTTAATGTAACAATAATCACTATAAAGTCAAATAATATATAATTTTCTTTCACTGAGCTCACACATTGATTTGGTTTGATTGACCGACGATTCAAAATTTTCTATTGAAAAGTCAGAATTTGTATTAACGTTTATATTTCACCAAATAAATGGACTCACTATCTGTATACCTATGGAAAATAAAAAAAACTTACCGGTATCTATTTCTGTTCAGAATTACAAGGGTTTTTTCTACAGCGATACCATTTTTGTGGTTCACACAAAAATTGATGACTTCATAAGGACCATGGACAGCTGGACATTAGCACTGACAATATGGATAGAACTTTGTACCCAATACATTTTTTGATTTCCTGATGAAGGCTAGGAGGCCAAATATCTGAAGCTGATAACTTTAATTATTGCTCGATTAAACTAATTTAAACTATTTGTTTTACAATATCTTATCAATCATGCGATACTTAAGAAATGTACAATTTAACTTTGAATTTATTGTTTGTCTCAATTGTTTTTAAAGATTTTACTATTTATAAGTATACGACACAGAATTTATTTTTGTGTAGGATGATAACTATGTTTACCGAACCTTATGACTTTATTGAACCATCCTGTCCGATATTGTAAAGATCAACCCTAATTTCCTCTACAGTTCTTCAAAAGCTTACCCACTATTCCCTGTTATCCAAACCTATACCTATGGACTTTATAGTAAATATTTTAATTATCTGAACCTCAGTATCAGTTTTCTGGGACCTAAGTCACTGTCCTAACAAAGCCTCCACTGCCTAGCTTACTAACGCTTTGTTATTACATCAAATCTGGATGACAGGGGATTTAATGATAAACATGCAATTTCGAACATATTTCACTGGTGATGTTTCATACCATCATACAAACAAACTACAGACTTAGCCAAACACAAACTGCTTCACTCTGATTCTAATCACACTTCCTGCTTCTGGTTTTTTCCCTTTCCTGTACCAACGTTAACTTGTTCCACCTGGCTGCCTCCATCACAGATTCAAAGCCTGCAGGAAGATGCCATGAGTACAGGGTCACATTGAGTTTGTTTCTAGGACTTTTCACAGAGATAAAATGACATATGAATTGCTGTTTCCATGGATACAGTTGTCACACTTCAGAAGGTGTTCCATGGATACAGAAATAACACTATATGGAGCAGTTTCCATAGACATAGAGGTAAGACTGCTGTTTCTGTTTCCAAGGATATAGATGCCATTTCATGGATACTGTGGACACATGTTATTGTGTGTTACCATGGATAGGAGGTCACCTGCCTGTCTGGGAGGTACAGGAAGGACTACAGGCGGTGATGAAGACACTTGGTGAAGCCTTCATTATAGTATACAGCACTGAAATACACATTACACAGCATTACACAATAATACAGTAGTACTAGATACAATCTCCTAAGCTAAATAATTAAATCCAGTTGTCTAGGTATTTTGATAACCAAACAAAACTAACTTCTGATGAAAACCTTTCCTTATTTTATCAAGCACATAGATCAAATTCCTGAAGTTCCTTAAAAAGATACCTGGCTACAAGACGAAACAGGCTTCAATTTTAAACAAAAATTTGCAGAACTAATTTCAGATTTTATTCTGTAGTTATCAACTTGTACTTTAGCAAGAGCTAATAATTCACAGGAAAAATATCTTGATCATAAGCAGAACTGAAAAGTTAGCGACTGCACCTGATGTCTTATGTTAGTAATGGACATTATGAAAATGTATTTTAAGTAAAGGAGTAGTTTAAAAATTTACCATTACTTATCTTTCAGGCAGGTGAGCTAACTAGATATTTCACAAAATATCTTTTACTATTGATAACAATTTGTTAAATATTTATTTAGCTGAAACGCTTTTTAACCTACACATCGGTTTTCAAAATTTGAGAGTTTTGCACTAAAAATAAATATAACTTCTCTGTTAACATATCTACAAAAATGATAAGATGCCAACCTCTTTATCTTTTGACTTTGGTTCTCTAGTTGTACGTTCCCTCTCCCTTGGGCGACCTCCATGAGCAGCGTGGTGGTGTTGAGGGGTCCCGCCCCCTGACGCCCATGTTGGTTGTTGTTGCCGTTGTTGTTGTTGTTGTTCCTGTCGTCGGACAGCCAGGGCTAATCGCTTGTCCTCATCTGCCTGCATACGTGCTGCCAACTCATGGCTTCAACAGACACAAGAATAAAATGTGAATACTAGTATCAATTGTTTTAGACTTATTAAGTGTTTTTTTAAATTACTTCAGCTCTTTATACTGTGACAATATATATATGAGAAGAACTTCCACAAAAGCCAAATCTTTAAAGTGTCTCATGAAAGCCAGATCAACATTATACAAATACGTTTTACCTTAATTTACTGAAAAATAATTGAAATAAAGCAAAGATAGGAGTTGCTCATGCATTTGATAATTTTACACTAGAAATACGTTTTTTCCACTAAAACCAATCATTGAAGCAGTTCAAGGTCAATGATACGAAGAAAATGTATAGCACTCTATCCAAGGTACCTAATGACCAAATATTATGAGCCTGGGCCAAATGGGACTTGAGAAGAAGACTCTTAAATCTATCACCATTATAGCCAATGATTTTGTTAAACACGTGCACTGACCCTAGCAACTATTCAATGTTGGCATTCATGGCTCTAGAATATAACATTCTTCAGATGATGTTGAATGAAATTTTCAACATATTTGACCCCAGTGAACTTGAAACTAGTCTGAGGTATAAACAGGATGAATTTCAAGATCCTAGGTCATTCAGTTTGCAAGAAGAATCTGTTCAAAGAAAAAAGTTGGCGGACGGGCATGATTGGTGTGTGTTACAGTAGGGACAGGGGAGATAATTCTTACTCAGACATTTGAGGTCGCTGTGGGTCATGTCTTTGACCATTATCCTGATTCCAGTCTATTTCTTCATCTCTTAACTGCTGCTCATGCTGGAGGGACATCGCTAGCAGGTAACTATCAACACAGATCAAGACCTACAGGTAAGTCATGTAACAATACACAGGTAAAGTACTGGAATATACTGACCACTATACATGTAACTGTGATATGTCCTAAATATGGTAACTACAGTGTATATACCAGTAAAAATAGGTAAAGTACAGGTATACCATGACCAACAGTTTACATACCTGTAGCTGTGATATGTCCTAAGTCACATAATATAAGCACACACAGATAACATTCAACAAATACAGAAAGTTGTGCAAAATGAAATACTGGACAACATAAATTTTATATTACATACAACTCAAGTACAATAATACATTAATCATAATACATACTTGAATCAAATCTGTGATATGTCAGCCAGAGCAATAAGATGAAGCATGGATTACCTTCATAATACAGGTCATACTAATTGAGAGATAAGTGCTAGGTTCGACTTATACTGACACAGGGTTATTTCCCTTTGTTATCAATAATCTTAAGTTCATAATGGTATTTTAGCAGATTTTCCAAAAACTTTTGAGTAAAGAAAGTCATTCTTGATCTTGAGTTTTACAAATAAAACTCAGACCACATACCCATGTTTAAAAATAAGCATAACAAATTTGTTTTTATTATGATCTGATAAATAATAATAATAAGAAATAATCAGCACTGCACATATACTGACTCTTGGTCAACTTGCTCCTCTGGATTCATAGGTGTGGGTGGTAGGACAGGTTCAGCAGGCGGGGACTTCCTGTACGTGTTGAAGTTGGCATCCACAAAATAGCCATCCCCCTCCACGTTAGACAGTGTTTCCCAAACCACGTTACGCTCACTCAGAAACCCCTGATCTGTCACCAGCAGGAACAGTTCATTCTGTAAAGCAACAAATACAGTTTAAAATGACAGGAAAAATAGCTACCTTATAACTTATGACAAATTATTAAACAAAATATGGCTTCCTTATCACGTATGACAAATCTAACTGACGTATGAAAGGATCCTGGAAGGTGCGTTCAAGTGGTGGTGATCTAAAAGTTTATTCAATACATGTACATTCAAACTAATTAAGTAAGGAGGGCTATAACATTAGCTTCAACTACATAACTCTGTGTGTCCTTCGTAAATATGTTGTCCCTGGGAAATGTGATTTTTAAATTCTGATCTCAAGCATAACCTTAATTTCCAGACTCCATAATTTTGAGCATCAAGAGTGATCTATAGACACTAGTAAAAGATCAATATATACATACATGTACCAAGATCTACACTGCAGCCTCAGATAGTGACATTATCCTTCAAAATTAATCTAAAGGTTTTTATTCAAATCAACGTTCTTTGTGAATGTAATTTCAGCAAAAAAAAATTGCCAAAATTCTCACAAAAATTCCCTTCATTGTTGAATGGGTTTATGGTCAAGAGTTTAAAACCATTACACCTAAAGTATTAGGGCGTTATCCTTATCAAATGATCATAAGCGTTCCTAATTGAAGTGGTAAGTACACTGCAAGTGGGCTATAGGGCTTAACTTGTTGATTAAAGAACAGGAGAATGGTTGTCACCACTCAAGGTCCTGGCTGGCCATTGACCTCATATTACAAACAGTCAACGACCATAGACATCACATGTTTAATTCATTGACCTCTGACTTCTATTTCATTTACATTTATTTTAATTAAAGTTACCAGACTAAAGCTTTAAAACAATTTCCAAGTATCAAAGAGCAAATCTAATCCCCACTGAATGTTTTATAATTAAGTGTCAGTGAGCAACAATAATTCCTTGTTATTTTTATAATGAAGAATCACTAAGCATCATTAATCCCCTAATGACTGTTTCATCTCTGAGCAATTAAACCCCCCACCGATTATTTTGTTTTGTAGCTATAGTGAATCACCGAAGTTCGAGTTTTGACTGACCTAAAAACAAATCGGAATGGACAGTGGGTGGAATACGTGCCTAATGTTATGATATTTCACTTTTGATCTTTGATTCATGGTGTACATTAGTTTCAGATGAATCTTGACCCATTTGATGATTCAGATATATGAAAAGTGATGTCAAGCTGTTTTGAGACCAAAGAGTATTTGTATCAAGTTTGGTCAGTTACTTTGATTTAGTTAAAATCAAAACCGTCACAGGCTTCGGCGTTCCTCTGCGATTCAAATCAGCCATAAAAACAACTGGTCAAGAGATGATTATTTGCAGTAGTTTTTTTTCTGAATAGCTTACTGAAACTGGGGAAGTTAAATGGTTTACTTAGGTAACCCCATTACCCCTACTAGGTTCAAAAATCATTAACCCAATTTTCCCTAATAGGCTCTGCCTAAAGGAAGCCACACCCTTCATTCATACAACAATGAATCTTCTTCATCCCGGAATACAGTACTCCATGGCCATTGAGGTCCAAATTCATTCACTCTAACTTAAAGAGTAGTTTTTTATCTCCAAAGTTGAGGAGATAGGAAAGACCATATGGTCTTTGTTATAATATTATGTCTGGATTTGTGCCAAGTGTAATTACAAGGACCCACATTGGGATTAACACTATCTGGTGTGACATATATACCGGTAATGAGAATATCCCTTATATAAGTGTTTTTAAATCTAGAATAATGTGGAACACCTCCACAGATTTGGTGAAACTTAACTGGAAACCTACAATGAGATGCAATGGTATAGGAGCTGATAGATGTACATGGTAAATTGTATTGGGGTGTTATAAGTATTACCATGACTTTTTTTCTGTCCGAGACTGATACACTCCGACATTAAATATATAAATGTAAGGATAACAATTATGATCCTCAAATAGTAATGATTGCTTTATAACATTTCTTTAAATTCAATTTCATATATTATAATAAAGTTATCAGGTAGTATACTATGTCCTTTACAAAGTAAGAACATTGATAAAATTTCAATTTGTCAAACAAAAAAACTTGAAGAACCTCTTGCATTATAACTCTCTTATAAACTTTGAATTATCATCACATAGTGCAGTGTCAAATTTCAAAAGATGCTTTTTTCTTAAAAATTGTAGTGTTTACAAATGGTCATCAAGATATCCACCCTTCTACTAAAATATTCCAAGTACCACACAATTGAATTCATATTTGAAATTTGACATTTACATTTAAGTACAAGCCCTAACAGCCTTTAATAATGATGATAATTATGTCTGTATGAGTATAGGATATAGTTACAACTATTTATCAGCAAGGACACAATACCAGTGTCCTTATCACCGTAATCTTAGGACTAAATACTGCATCATTAGCTGTGCTATCTCAATGCCGGAGCTGGGGTTCACACTGGCACACTTAACTAAGCATAGTTTATCCATGTGGGATTGGATTCTGCCAAAATCTAGTGACAAAACGCTGTATCAATTAAAAGATTATTGACTTTTAGATAATCTATTTCATCACAAACCTGGCATTAAATATACAGAAATATTTACTTAAGATTTTCTAAAATGTTTATACTATTTTGTACATGTAACTGCTTTGATCTCGTCACTTAATACAAATCATCAACCTATCAAGACCTGGATGTTATGTTTACAATCAACAGGCATTTCCCCTAACTTTGTCAACATTTCTATCGTACATCTTTTGGTAATTAATTATATGCAGTGCGGGATGGGTTTAGATGATAATTTGGTTATGAAAAGAAAACCAATATGCAAACTAAGCAGATTTACATGGTGTGTATACTGGTTTTTGGTTTCATAACTGGTAGATTATCCAACAGGTTCTAATGGATACTTTAGTAATTTACTTAAGCATAGGTAGCACGAGATGAAAATGAAACACAAATTTAACTTTATCCTGAAAATTTCTTTAGACAATCATGATTTGTATAATATTACAAAAACAAAAATCGGTACTTGTGAAAATTAAGCGATTGAAAGCATTTCAGAGGATATCAATAAGGATTTTTTTCCCCCCGAGGCAGCGGACAAGTTAACATAGCCTCGGGAAACTATCCCCGGTATGGAGTTTGATACCAGAAAAAGAATGCAATGACCTTTATGTACAGGGAATGTAACTATAACGATATTAGTATATTGAACCCACTTATACAGCTTCATGCAACCTAGCTTATATGTATATACTCCATACATCAAACTCATGTTCAATCCTCTGTTCCAATTCAATATACTCTGGTATTGACAATCGTTAGTAATGACAATCCATTTGTTATATTTCTCATTTTTTTTTTTTGAGAGACAAATTGTAAAGCAGTTTTGATATGAGTTTGAAACTTATGAAGACTACCCCCAATGGTACGAAGGCTTGGTTAAAGAGTACAGTCTAACTTGACAAGGGATAGGCCGTGTTATGATAGCAAAGACATCTAAAATGACGTAAAGTAAGAACATTGACTCCTGACCCCAGAGCTGTGTTATAATCACTATACACAAGTGGATGAATCATTTTCACAAGAGAACGATGGACAGGATTTCCTTCTATGTGTAACGCAACTTCCCCTCATCACACTCCGGACCAGTCCACAACACATTATGTACAACCAATGTGATGAGGGAGGGGCAATCACAGCCATGACCTGACCTCTACTCCGTTCAAGGATTTTTGTTTCATGCAGAATGCCAGGGAAATGGCTTTGTCAGTTTGTAACAGGAAGGAGGATGTGTGCTTCCTCATGTTAAAGAATTAAGGAAAGAGCGTTTGAGGAATTAAGATAACAACGGATACCAACATGTGCCTAGAATGTTAAAAGTTAATGACTGGAGTTAAAAATGGAGAAAAAAATGTGAAAATTTAACAATTACAAATTTGTAATACAACACAAATTTAATGGTAAACTCTGTACTTGACTGAATGACAACATTTAAGGTTAACAGATCACAATCAGCTGACAATTGTTTTTAGATTTGACTCCACAGACAATTGCAGTAACAGTTGTCAGCTCTGAAGAAGCTGTTGTAAAGATGGAAATATCAGTTATCGAGTTAAAAGTAACAATGAACAAGGATTACTGAGACATCAAATTGGACTAACATTTGCCAAGTTCGTAGTTTGATCAGTAGTTAATTTTGCCAGCTGTCAAGTCGGACTAAAGTGAAACCTTACAGGATGGATTAAATACAGGTGGATGTGTGTTTAGAAATGGAGTTATTGTTTAGGTTGGATCACCCGTCCCCGGCTAAGCAGGCTGTGTGCACCTCCTTCCTACTGTTTTACTGTGCTGTTTCCAGTAACGTCCTACCAGGTGAGTTAGAGGACCTGCTGAACCCCTTTATTTCCCCCTATCATCATCAACATTTTATCTGCATTTGAAACAACTACCCTGTCAGTAAATGTTCTGAGATAATGCTGCGTAACATGGCATATCAATGGCGACATTCTGTTACCCCTTTGTAATGACAGGCAATTATGTTACTGCAAATATTTTCGTAATTATAAAAATCTTCACAGCGAGTTATTCGTGTCAATTACGTTGTACAGACTTCACAGTCTGTCATCAGTATGCCTCTATCAGTATTGGCTTTACCAGTACTTATGGTTGCTCTAGATCTGTAACTGGGAAAATGTTGAATGTAAATACAAATTCAACCAAAGGTTATGTACATGTTCCAAAGCTGTCCCATGTCACTGACAACTGACATTTTTTTCATTACAATCCTCTAGTTGACAGTGTGCCGAAGGAAGTTGGTGGGTACTGTATACCATACGCCCAGCGAGAGTGTCGTGATCTGTCCGACCCCTTGTACGAGGGTATCTTCAAACCTACTGCCACAACAGATGTATGTCAGTAAGTACCGAAACATTGTGGGACACAAAGATAAACTTTTCAACAATCCCAAACCTTGATAACAGTTAGGTCCTTCATATTTATACCAGTTAGTTTACTTTTTTTGTAGAGATGTTGAATATAATATTTTATCATAAAAACACCTTACTTGCTGTCCTGTTTGAATTTTATGGAAATACCCATTTTTTATATGATTTAATGATTTAATAGCTATTGATATCTACTATCATATCAGATAAAGTGTTGCCATGTTTATCATTCCTGATAAGCAATTAAATCTCATTCATAATACTTTTTTTTGATTATCTGATCAGAATATAGGGGAAACGTTAAAATCTTTCATTGCAAGCAAATTATTTTCAATATATCATGTGAATCATTTATTATTAACCCTCAAAATCACACAATGAATGTGGTATACATGTTTAGACTCTTCTCAATAAACACTTTATAACCGCACTGAGTTCAAATAGATCAAAAATGATCTGACGATAGTCTTGAAGCAACGGTACCTGTAGGTGTAGATTTATGGTATTTTATACATACATATTGGTAACAGATCCTGTTAGATATATGAGGATGGCACACCAAATTGATATTCTGTTTCTCTTGCAGACTATTTGCCACGTATCACTCCTGCATACAACAGATAATATTAAACTGTCCAATTACTCCAGAGGAAGAGTCTTTCTACGATACAAGCTTTGTACAATTCTTTAATAAGGAGTACGAGTGTCACATATCTACTACCACAGGTAAGTCTTAATTCTACGATACAAGCTTTGTACAATTCTTTAATAAGGAGTACGAGTGTCACATATCTACTACCACAGGTAAGTCTTAATTCTACGATACAAGCTTTGTACAATTCTTTAATAAGGAGTACGAGTGTCACATATCTACTACCACAGGTAAGTCTTAATTCTACGATACAAGCTTTGTACAATTCTTTAATAAGGAGTACGAGTGTCACATATCTACTACCACAGGTAAGTCTTAATTCTACGATACAAGCTTTGTACAATTCTTTAATAAGGAGTACGAGTGTCACATATCTACTACCACAGGTAAGTCTTAATTCTACGATACAAGCTTTGTACAATTCTTTAATAAGGAGTACGAGTGTCACATATCTACTACCACAGGTAAGTCTTAATTCTACGATACAAGCTTTGTACAATTCTTTAATAAGGAGTACGAGTGTCACATATCTACTACCACAGGTAAGTCTTAATTCTACGATACAAGCTTTGTACAATTCTTTAATAAGGAGTACGAGTGTCACATATCTACTACCACAGGTAAGTCTTAATTCTACGATACAAGCTTTGTACAATTCTTTAATAAGGAGTACGAGTGTCACATATCTACTACCACAGGTAAGTCTTAATTCTACGATACAAGCTTTGTACAATTCTTTAATAAGGAGTACGAGTGTCACATATCTACTACCACAGGTAAGTCTTAATTCTACGATACAAGCTTTGTACAATTCTTTAATAAGGAGTACGAGTGTCACATATCTACTACCACAGGTAAGTCTTAATTCTACGATACAAGCTTTGTACAATTCTTTAATAAGGAGTACGAGTGTCACATATCTACTACCACAGGTAAGTCTTAATTCTACGATACAAGCTTTGTACAATTCTTTAATAAGGAGTACGAGTGTCACATATCTACTACCACAGGTAAGTCTTAATTCTACGATACAAGCTTTGTACAATTCTTTAATAAGGAGTACGAGTGTCACATATCTACTACCACAGGTAAGTCTTAATTCTACGATACAAGCTTTGTACAATTCTTTAATAAGGAGTACGAGTGTCACATATCTACTACCACAGGTAAGTCTTAATTCTACGATACAAGCTTTGTACAATTCTTTAATAAGGAGTACGAGTGTCACATATCTACTACCACAGGTAAGTCTTAATTCTACGATACAAGCTTTGTACAATTCTTTAATAAGGAGTACGAGTGTCACATATCTACCACAGGTAAGCCTTAATTCTACGATACAAGCTTTGTACAGTTCTTTAATAAGGAGTACGAGTGTCACATATCTACCACAGGTAAGCCTTAATTCTACCATAAACCTTTCTTACATCTTGTGATACATCTTTAAGACAGGTCTTGAATTTACCAGAACTTGTTTCTGATAGGCACATTATTAACACAAGCTACAACACCTTAACATGCAGGTATTGCACATCCATTATGGATATGTAATTCATATGCAAATGCAATTTTCAGGATTTTTGCCTGTTTTTTCTTGTAAATACATCCTGAATAGAAATTGGATAAGTTTTGTAGCATTATTGTATGTTTGGGTAAATGAAAGTGCATAACATGACAGTGGTTTCACTTTCATCAATAACTAATTTTCACACAAATTCTGCAAGTAAGAGAAAACTGATAAAAATATCTTCAATATTGCATTTTCACCACCTATTTATCAAAATTGCGAAAAAAGAAAATAAGACAGAGTTGAAAGAATTGCATTCAATGTCAAACCCCAGAAAAGTTGGAAAATTTCCAGATTTTCTTATCGATAACATACAGTACATGTATTAGGCAACAGAAATTTTCAAAAATCCTTGTTTTAGGGGATCAATTCGGTGAAACAAAAGCAATCACAAAAGCAACCTTTTCAAAGCAAAAATCAGAGAAGTAAGGGTGTAATGAAACGTTTCCTTTAAACAAGTTACTAATTAAACCTAAAAGAAATGTTGTCAATATACAAAACAGCAAGTAACATATTTGATGGTGGTTGTTTTTTTCATATTCAGGAAAATTACATCAACAACATTCTTCTAATGGAGGTTCAGTAAAGAAATGGAACTCTTTGTTGATGTGTGGACTTTGGCTTCTTGTGGGATACTTTACAAGTGTTCAATGACAACATCCATGTACTATTAGGAAGACAGTGCTGTAACATGTGAGATACATGTACTGTACTTATCAACTTATAACTCCCATGGAATCCAGTTGTTAATTCCTGAAATCTGGTCTATCATTCCTCTTAACATTCCAGAAAGTTTCTGGAAGAGGCAGGGCAGGGTCTCAAAGTAAAATCATCCTAACCTGCTGTACACTGAAAAATCGTTGCTAAAAGAAATGCATGAATAATGAAGTATTTATATACCTGGTAAGTTATACATCAACCGGTGTGAATGTGTTTGCTGAAAAATGATTGTTGATCAAGTCAAGGAAACACTTGTATAGGGCATATAGTTATAAATGTACAGTGAAATCTGTAGTACCAGCAGTGAAAGACAATATGTTGTAAGCCAATGATCTCATGAAAGAATAAGAAGTACAATTCTGAAAGGATGATAGGATGAAGGCTTTTCCTGTGATGTAAGTAAAACACACAAGACATTCTTGCCTGCTGAGATCTCAATGACACTGTATGTGTGACTTATGTATTCCTTTGTCGTATTTCACTGAGGGAGGAAAATGCTTTACAAAATGTGAAGGTTACCGTAGAACAACATTTCACAAACAACGATGCAATTTCTGTGTTTTATGTAAATAAATTATTGTGATACTTGTCTACTTCCAGTGATCAATGGGAGATGTATAATTGTTGAAACTGTATGGATGAAACCCCTACTGCCGCCCTTATGACCTGTTAAATAAAATTTGCCTAGGAAAGAGAAAATGTCAGTTTTTTGTTTGAAGTGGAGAACAAGGCAATGTTAACTTGGGGAAGTCAGTATGCCCCCTGTGGTGAACAAGGCAATGTTAACTTGGCGAAGTCAGTATGCCCCCTGTGGAGAACAAGGCAATGTTAACTTGGGAAAGTCAGTATGCCCCCTGTGGTGGACAAGGCAATGTTAACTTGGCGAAGTCAGTATGCCCCCTGTGGAGAACAAAGCAATGTTAACTTGGGGAAGTCAGTATGCCCCCTGTGGTGGACAAGGCAATGTTAACTTGGCGAAGTCAGTATGCCCCCTGTGGAGAACAAGGCAATATTAACTTGGGGAAGTCAGTATGCCCCCTGTGGTGAACAAGGCAATGTTAACTTTGCAAAGTCAGTATGCCCCCTGTGGTGAACAAGGCAATGTTAACTTGGCGAAGTCAGTATACCCCCTGTGGTGAACAAGGCAATGCTAACTTGGCGAAGTCAGTATGCCCCCTGAAGTGAACAAGGGGAAATAACTCAAGTTACACAAGCATCACAAATGATCATGCTGACAGTCTGTGAGCAAAAATGTGCGGGAAGAACATCAGCTGCTATATTCTCAGTGACCTAATTTACCTTTACATGTATAAAGAGAAATTGATGTTCAGAACATAAACCACAAGACCACAGACAAAAGTGGAACAAATTACAAACAACTATTTAATCACATATAAGCAAAGATGGTATTTTCCCACTCTCCAGGTGATACATGTAGTACAATACACTAGAACAATGTCAAATACAGACTAACTAAACCTCCCACATCTCATTCCGACACTTTTGGGTTTTAATCCACAAAGTAATTCCAATCACAAAGGAAAATCAATTGTATAGTTAATAACTCCCCTGTGTACTGATAAAGAGTGCAAAGTCTCATTGAAGTCCATGTTGTGTCTTAGTAGAAGTAGGATTTGATTTTCATATAAAGGGGAACAACTCTACAATAAAAAAGTGTTGAAATCACAACAATAGTGGATTGTTGACAACTGCCTAGAACATTGATAAATTGTACAAAGTTTCATTTCAGCACTTTATGAGAAGTGATACAAACTTGTGTCTGTCGACAGATGGACAGATTGTAGGACAGACTAGTGATACAAACTTGTGTCTGTCGACAGATGGACAGATTGTAGGACAGACCAGTGATACAAACTTGTGTCTGTCGACAAATGGACAGATTGTAGGACAGACCAGTGATACAGACTTGTGTCTGTCGACAAATGGACAGATTGTAGGACAGACCAGTGATACAGACTTGTGTCTGTCGACAGATGGACAGATTGTAGGACAGATCAGTGATACAGACTTGTGTCTGTCGACAGATGGACAGATTGTAGGACAGACCAGTGATACAAACCTGTGTCTGTCGACAGATGGACAGATTGTAGGACAGGCCAGTGATACAAACCTGTGTCTGTCGACAGATGGACATTATTGTAGGACAGACCAGTGATACAAACCTTTGTCTGTCGACAGATGGACAGATTGTAGGACAGACCAGTGATACAAACCTTTGTGTGTCGACAGATGGACAGATTGTAGGACAGCCCAGTGATACAGACTTGTGTCTGTCGACAGCTGGACAGATTGTAGGACAGACCAGTGATACAAACCTGTGTCTGTCGAACGATGGACAGATTGTAGGACAGACCAGTGATACAAGCTTGTGTCTGTCGACAGATGGACAGATTGTAGGACAGACCAGTGATACAAACCTGTGTCTGTCGACAGATGGACAGATTATAGGACAGACCTGTCGCCTATCTATCCCATTATACACTTCGATTCTGTAACCTGTATGTGACAGGTATCATAACAAGAGGCCCATGGGCCTTAACGGTCACCTGAGTCTACAGTATTTTTTATTTTTTTTGAAATATGTACCAATTTGAGTAAAAAATAGTATAATGTTAACTTAACTTTGTCAGGACCATGAGCTGATCATTCCTAGACCAATTTTAAGTGAGATCGGCCTATTAGAATTTAGTAGCAAAATAGCGGCCATGGCAGCCAAATTGTATTTCTGATTGACCCGAAAAATAACAACACTCTGTCAGGACCATGAGCTGATCATTCCTACAAAGTTTCAGTTCAATCGGCCTAGCAGAACTTGACTTTAAGTTTGAAATAGTTTTTCAAAATGGCGGCCGTGGCGGCCATATTGGATTTCTGAACGACCCGAAAAATAACAACACTTTGTCAGGACCATGAGTCTATCATTCCTACAAACTTTAAGTTCAATCGGTCCAGCAGAACTTGACTTTAAGTTTGAAATAGGTTTTCAAAATGGCGGCCGTGGCGGCCATATTGGATTTCTGATTGACCTAAAAAATAACAACACTTTGTCAGGACCATGAGCTGATCATTCCTACAAAGTTTCAGTTCAATCGGCCTAGCAGAACTTGACTTTAAGTTTGAAATAGGTTTTCAAAATGGCGGCCGTGGCGGCCATATTGGATTTCTGATCGACCCGAAAAATAACAACACTTTGTCAGGACCATGAGGCGATCATTCCTACCAACTTTCAGTTCAATCGGTCCAGCAGAACTTGACTTTAAGTTTGAAATAGGTTTTCAAAATGGCGGCCGTGGCGGCCATATTGGATTTCTGATCGACCCGAAAAATAACAACACTTTGTCAGGACCATGAGGCGATCATTCCTACCAACTTTCAGTTCAATCGGTCCAGCAGAACTTGACTTTAAGTTTGAAATAGGTTTTCAAAATGGCGGCCGTGGCGGCCATATTGGATTTCTGATCGACCCGAAAAATAACAACACTTTGTCAGGACCATGAGGCGATCATTCCTACCAACTTTCAGTTCAATCGGTCCAGCAGAACTTGACTTTAAGTTTGAAATAGGTTTTCAAAATGGCGGCCGTGGCGGCCATATTGGATTTCTGATCGACCCGAAAAATAACAACACTTTGTCAGGACCATGAGGCGATCATTCCTACCAACTTTCAGTTCAATCGGTCCAGCAGAACTTGACTTTAAGTTTGAAATAGGTTTTCAAAATGGCGGCCGTGGCGGCCATATTGGATTTCTGATCGACCCGAAAAATAACAACACTTTGTCAGGACCATGAGGCGATCATTCCTACCAACTTTCAGTTCAATCGGTCCAGCAGAACTTGACTTTAAGTTTGAAATAGGTTTTCAAAATGGCGGCCGTGGCGGCCATATTGGATTTCTGATCGACCCGAAAAATAACAACACTTTGTCAGGACCATGAGGCGATCATTCCTACCAACTTTCAGTTCAATCGGTCCAGCAGAACTTGACTTTAAGTTTGAAATAGGTTTTCAAAATGGCGGCCGTGGCGGCCATATTGGATTTCTGATCGACCCGAAAAATAACAACACTTTGTCAGGACCATGAGGCGATCATTCCTACCAACTTTCAGTTCAATCGGTCCAGCAGAACTTGACTTTAAGTTTGAAATAGGTTTTCAAAATGGCGGCCGTGGCGGCCATATTGGATTTCTGATCGACCCGAAAAATAACAACACTTTGTCAGGACCATGAGGCGATCATTCCTACCAACTTTCAGTTCAATCGGCCCAGCAGAACTTGACTTTAAGTTTGAAATGTAAAATGTTAACGGACGACGGACGACGACGGACGAAAACGGATAGCAATAGGTCACTTGAGCTAAAGCTCAGGTGACCTAAAAACAAATGGAAACAGGTGAACTTCAAAAGACAGTGTTTTAGTTTTTAAAATAGTAACAGCATTATTTACTGACTGTCTTCTTCAAAAGTTAAAATTACCTTATGAGAGAATTTTCAAAGTAAATAAGCATGATTATCAATCATTATAATTTGCTGGACATTTTATCACACACTGTAATATTTATATAATAAGCTCGGGAAACCATCTTTTTGTTTATTATGAAAACATAAATACAGAATTGGATAAAAAAACTGACATGGAACATGATGTCACAATGTCATTATGTCATCACAAAGTTGGTATCCAACACCATTATATTCCATCCAGGGAGTTATACAGCTCATGAGTGTGGTCACTAATTTCATAGGAAGATGAGAAATTGGTCTAACAGTGTATCCTTATTACTGATTGGTTGCAGGAATAGAGATTAGCCAATCGAAGAAAGTGTAACATCACCGCTTAGGCATCAATTGCATGTGTTCACTAAAATACATCATGCTAAATCATAACACAACTACCGGTAGTAAAAAAAGTCAGGTCCAAGGAAAATTTATTTTTCTGGAAAACAACAAGGATCGTGTAGGTAGAGCATGCATTATAAGTGGAAGTTTAACTTAACACTCTTTTACCTTTCACCCCTATGTAACTTTAGTAGACTTTACCATCCTTGATATGGATGAGTCCATTATAGTCTATAGTGTTGAAAGGGTTAAGTGCCAATACATGTTACTAAAGTATGGAAGTCTAAATTTAATCCACCTGGTCATTTCATGGTACTGAAGTACACAAGTACATGTATTCACTTTACACACCCGATGTCTGTACATGGTACTGTAGTATAGAAGTTTTAACTCTACACTGCTGATGTCTGTACATGGTACTGTAGTATAGAAGTTTTAACTTTACACCTGATGTCTGTACATGGTTCTGTAGTATAGAAGTTTTAACTCTACACTGCTGATGCCTGTACATGGTACTGAAGTATAGAAGTTTTAACTTTACACCAGATGTCTGTACATGGTACTGAAGTATAGAAGTTTTAACTTTACACCCGATGTCTGTACATGGTACTGTAGTATAGAAGTTTTAACTTTACACCTGATGTCTGTACATGGTACTGTAGTATAGAAGTTTTAACTTTATACCTGATGTCTGTACATGGTACTGAAGTATAGAAGTTTTAACTTTACACACACCTGATGTCTGTACATGGTACTGAAGTACAGAAGTTTTAACTTTACACCTTATGTCTGTATATGGTACTGAAGTATAGAAGTTTTAACTTTACACCTGATGTCTGTATATGGTACTGAAGTATAGAAGTTTTAACTTTACCTACCTGATGTCTGTACATGGTACTGAAGTGATTATTCCTGAAGAAGACACACAGTTGGTTTTCCTTGACAACAGAGTTCAGTTCACACAAGCCATGGTAGGTTAACTGGGCTGCTGCTCCGTCCAAAAAGGACTCACACAGTAATGCTATAAAACGTCAATAAAAATCTTGGCTTGCATCATGTGTTTACATTAATATATGTATTGTCTGATTTCCAACAAAAACAACCTGTCACTATTCTAATATATAACTTCAATGGAATGCTTCCTTCAAAATACCAGGAAGAGTTACACATACTTATAATAAAATAAATAAATACTCCAGATGGACCAGATCAGTTTTAATTCACACATACCGGTACATAATTTTACAAACTGCCATTCCTGTAGTTATTTGTGAAGAGTTGCACTCACTCAAAGTGTATAGCAATCATTATGCACAAATAAATGTCAATGTACATGTGATACTTGATACCTGATACCACAAATAACTGTCTATGTACATGTGATACTTGATACCACAAATAACTGTCTATGTACATGAGATACTTGATACCTGATACCACAAATAACTCTCTATTTACATGTGATACTTGATACCTGATACCACAAATAACTGTCTATGTACATGAGATACTTGATACCTGATTCCACAAATAACTCTCTATTTACATGTGATACTTGATACCTGACACCACAAATAACTGTCTATGTACATGTGATACTTGTTACCTGATACCACAAATAAATGTCTATGTACATGTGATATTTGATACCACAAATGACTGTCTATTTAAATGTGATATTTGATACCACAAATGACTGTCTATTTAAATGTGATATTTGATACCACAAATGACTGTCTATTTAAATGTGATATTTGATACCACAAATGACTGGCTATTTACATGTGATATTTGATACCACAAATGACTGTCTATTTACATGTGATATTTGATACCACAAATGACTGTCTATTTAAATGTGATATTTGATACCACAAATGACTGTCTATTTACATGTGATATTTGATACCACAAATAACTGTCTACGTACATGTGATACTTGATACCTGATACCACAAACAAATGTCTATGTACATGTGATACTTGATACCTGATATCACAAATAAATGTCTATGTACATGTGATATTTGATACCACAAATGACTGTCTATTTAAATGTGATATTTGATACCACAAATGACTGTCTATTTAAATGTGATATTTGATACCACAAATGACTGTCTATTTACATGTGATATTTGATACCACAAATAACTGTCTACGTACATGTGATACTTGATACCTGATACCACAAATGACTGTATATTTACATGTGATACTTGATACCTGATACCACAATTAACTGTCTATGTACATGTGATACTTGATACCACAAATAACTGTCTATGTACATGAGATACTTGATACCTGATACCACAAATAACTCTCTATTTACATGTGATACTTGATACTTGATACCACAAATAACTGTCTATGTACATGAGATACTTGATACCTGATACCACAAATAACTCTCTATTTACATGTGATACTTGATACCTGACACCACAAATAACTGTCTATGTACATGTGATACTTGATACCTGACACCACAAATAACTGTCTATGTACATGTGATACTTGATACCTGATACCACAAATGACTGTATATTTACATGTGATACTTGATACCTGATACCACAAATAACTGTCTATGTACATGTGATACTTGATACCTGATATTCCTGATTGATGCAAAGTTTACTGGTATGTTGTGAAAACCACTATCAAATGAAATTTAAGTACGGTAACCCTCCGGTCAGTTCGAATCGGCGGATAGTTCGAACACGTACCTTTTTCAATAAAAACAATAATTTTCTAGCTAGTGATAGTTCAAACTCTGATTGACCTTATTTCGGATAGTCCGAACTTGTCAAATGAAAACGTAAAGTATGATTTTTTTTCGGCAAACTCCATTGAAAGCTCGCTGCGATCGGCCCCGAAAAATGCCAATACTTTGATCAACAGACACGTTTAGGGTAATGGGTTGTATGTGTGAGCATTGCAGTACAGCTGTGACAGACAAACCATAAATATATGTCACAGGTTTTAGCGTTGATTCATTTTTTTTTATCATTGTTTGGAAAATACATCGTGCACGAGACAGCCAATTTCAACTTAGGCCCCGACAATGTATAAATAACATGCGATCAGTACCAACTGATGTCACGCTGTATGGCTGTACGCTAAAAAATCGCCCGTGTGTTGTCAAATACAGGGTTAACTAAGCGTTTTGATTATTTTATTGCGACCAGACATCCCTTAATTATTGCCAATCAAGGGATTACCTGTAAACGTGTGCCTCACACCAGGTAGGGCAGGACACGATGTCGCGGTAGGAATCGGCCGCCCAGCCATGGTGAGTGACGTGATTAGCATTCATGTCAAAGTTCAAACAATCCACAGGTGTCCCAATTAGCAATGGGTAATTTTGAAGGTGTCAAATAAGTTTGGTAGGTATTAGGACTATATCACTTATAATTTCAAGCAGACATGTTGATGTTCTGACCTAATTTTACTAACATATAGACCTATATTTACTGTACAGTAACGCTTTGTAAACGCAACAGGTTATGTAGACTATGTTTTCAATTTATTAAACGGACCTTTCATTACGAAATAATATACACAATAGTTTCTGATTCAAATTAAACCTAACCACGCAGAGACTCAATATTTAGGTCTCTGATACAAGCTAGGTAGTCTTAACTTTTGTGTCACAAATGAAACGTGTACTGTTTCGGGGCCTACACAAGGGCCTCTGCTTCGCAATAACGATCATGAAATGAAGAAAGTTTAATGATCAATTTAACATTAAATGAAATAATATACTATCATTTTACCCATTTATAAATGTGCCATTGTTCTATGCCAGGCCGTCGTTGTTACGTATCGACCTTACATTGGATATATAGAGGTATACTCCGGTGAAGAAAATATGTCGGGTATATGTTTGTGACTTGATTTGCACTTTGCCGAATTTTTTGCCGATAGTTCGAACTCACGCTTATTTTCTGAAGCATAATTTTGTATAATCCGAACAGGTTCATCAATATTTATTTAATTTTGTTCGAACTGACCGAAGGTTTACCGTACATCATGTAATCTATGGTATGACAGGCCATGTGTTTTATTCCCTCATGCTTAAAATGCATTAATTTACTGAAAGTATATGACCATACACTAAATGAACAATAAACACCAACAGACTCATGACATTTTCTGCTTTGACGAACGAGATACTTCGTGTTAATTTTATACAGTGATTGATAATATAAGACACCAAAGCTTTACTATACAAAAGAAAACATACGTATGTTAACTCCTGCATCCTCAGAATTTTGATAACCAATAACCATTCTACGAAAGTTGATGTGTTGCCTACACCAGCTTAGGTAGAAGACTGATTGCAAGTTACCTATGATAGGGTAATAAAATGCAATTATTATTGATCAGATTGCAGCAGCCTCGTTAGTCGTTAATTAGTCATGATTTTGGCTAGCCACTAACCTTGAGTGAGGCACATGGTAGTATAATGTATGTTTATACCAGGCAAGTTTCAACAAAATCTGATGATTCCTTCAAAAATAATCAACCCAAAATAATCAGCCTTTCAATTTTGTCTATGACATAGTTTTTTTTATGGTGATTGTCTATGAGTCTACCATTACGTTTAAACACTATTACATAGTAAATTGTAATTAGATGAATTCATTGGAAAGTGTAATGATAATTCATAAAGTCCATCAGGAGAAGTAGTGTTTTTAAAGGCCATATTACATCCATTTCTCCCATATTTTGTCAAATTCAATTAGTACTTAAGGGAGAGTAAGCTTAAAAGAAGTTGGATGGACAACACACAGATAATGGATGCTGCTTTACGACAAAGAATCACTGGTTTTTGCTAAAGAAAACTAGAACATATTCTATACTTTGCATAACTTAGGTGAAATTCTGCAGAAAATAACTGAAACCTAATTTAATAGTGGGCTTAATACCAAGTTAGGGTTTATCACTGTTAGACTTCATATACAGTGATGTACCGGTATGTGTATGATCAGCTTTGGACATTTTATTTGGTAGACTACAGTAATGTATGTGTATGATCAGCGTTGGACATTTTATTTGGTAGACTACAGTAATGTATGTGTATGTTCAGCTTTGGACATTACCCGGTATATTTGGTAGACTACAGTAATGTAAGTGTATGTTCAGCTTTGGACATTTTATTTGGTAGACTACAGTAATGTATGTGTATGTTCAGCTTTGCACATTTTATTTGGAAGACTACAGTAATGTATGTGTATGATCAGCGTTGGACATTTTATTTGGTCGACTACAGTAATGTATGTGTATGATCAGCGTTGGACATTTTATTTGGTCGACTACAGTAATGTATGTGTATGATCAGCGTTGGTCATTTTATTTGGTAGACTACAGTAATGTATGTGTGTGTTCAGCTTTGGACTTTTTATTTGGTAGACTACAGCAATTTATGTGTATGTTCAGCTTTGGACTTTTTATTTGGTAGACTACAGTTATGTATGTGTATGTTCAGGTTTGGAAATTATATTTGGTAGACTACAGTAATGTAAGTGTATGTTCAGGTTTGGACTTTTTATTTGGTAGACTACAGTAATGTATGTGTATGTTCAGGTTTGGACTTTTTATTTGGTAGACTACATTAATGTATGTGTATGTTCAGCTTTGGACTTTTTATTTGGTAGACTACAGTAATTTATGTGTATGTATAGCTGTGGACTTTTATTTGTACATTTTCTTTTATATGTTCAGGTTTCACCCTCAAGTTATATTTCTATTTACCTTCAAGTTATAAAACTTAAGTTCAATGAAATAATATTTTTTATTTAAAACATTTTATATTTAATTTTTTATATATGATCATCAACATAAATCAGAGGATTATTCACACCACAATGAATTGCCATTACGTCGAAACACTTGACTTTCTGCAGCCTTAAGTTAATGACAATTTGATATTCTGTTTTGATTTCAGCAAAAAAAATTCATACAGTAATAAATCATTTTGAAGTTTAGATATCAATCAGTTTTTTATCAAAAGGAAACTGCAGATGACAACATGAGATTAAAGGGATTATTTCCACATGGATAAATATTTAAAACACATTTGTATAGAAAGCAATACTCATAAATAATTTCTAGCCTATGTAAGCCATAAAACGGTTCAGACATTCCACTGACTGTATATTTGAATCTTCACTGAATTTCTTTACTGACAATCTGATATTGACAATAACATATTGTATACCACAGGCAGCAATAGTAATCTTATAGTAAGAAGTGTACTCAATCTGATGTGTAAGCATTTTGTATCAAACAATCACAACACTTTTCAACAAATTCATTTCATCACGATACTGAGAAACACTTCTATAGATAAAGCACTAATTATTATCAGGGTACAATCTGGCTCTCTCCATTGAAGACAATGCCACTAGCATAAAATTAGGTGTGAGTTTCTATTATTTGTTTACATGTACTACACTGAGTACATTCCCTCTAGGAATTTTTATATGATCTTGAATATGTACCCAAATTAATTTTCATTTTTTTCATCACCATTAATATCAGGACTTTTGATGCTCGTTTAATAGTGATACCAGGGGAGGCTATTTTACCAACCTTCAGTGACAGTTTCTGGTTTGTCAGAGCTGCGTTGGGAAATTATTTTCTCTACCAGTTGATTGTAGCTACAGGTGCCAATAGCTGTGATTAAATCCTTTTCCTGAGGGTCCACCAGCCAGCCATGATACAGCGGGATGCTGAGTAGGTCAAAGATGATGCACTCAGGTGTGTATTCAAAGTCATTCACCCTACAGTGAAATAGAGTAAGTCACATTAGAGAGAAAGAGAAGTGAGAAATAACACTGCCACTTCCTGAGAGAAAAAGCCTATTCAACTCAATTTAACACTATTGAGACATTTTCTAATTAATTCAATTATTTTATAAACTGTGTAAGTCCAATTAATTACAGAAATAGTCTATTCAAAGTCAATAACAGAAGAAAATAGAGTACCTGAATTTGTTTACAGCATACACAAAATATACAAAGTCACTCTTTTTAGGGACAAATGTACATGTACTCAAAACACTCCCACTGAGAGACAAACACTTTACTTAAATATGTAACCTTTCAAACAACCAATGCACTTTAAGTCACTTATCAATTACCCCAACTACAGACAATACTTGATATAACTAATGAAACAGAGAAATATTATACTATATATGTCAGCTTCCAATTTATACAGGCCACAAAATGATATTAATTCATTAAAATTATACAATCAAGTACATGTCACCCTATAAGACTATCTAGAGAAGCAATGAAACAGTGGCGTTGTACATTACTACAAGTACCAGTATACCTCTATGAAGCAATGCTCCCAAAGATCACCCTCATCTTATTCACACAATGATTTACTGCTGTGCAATAACAAAGTCATTTATAGGCCTAAAGGTTAAGAACCCTCACATATTTCTAGGAAAAGATCGAATCAATATTTGTTCCTTAAGCTATTTTCACACACTGCAACTGTATCATTTTTTTTTATATTGACATCATGCTCTTACCTAGTAAATCAGACATCCATAACCCTGACACTGATGTCCGGTATATCTGACTTGGTGCCCTATTAACCTGACACTGATGTCCCGTAAATCTGATTTGGTGCCCTATTAACCTGAAACTGTTGTCCCCTAAATCTGATTTGGTGCCCTATAGACCTGACACTGATGTCCTGTAAACCTGACACTGATGTCCTGTAAAACTGACACTGATGTCCTGTTAACCTGACACAGATGTCATGGAACCCTGACACAGATGTCCTGTAAACCTGACATTGATGTCCTGTAAACCTGACACTGATGTCCTGTATACCTGACACAGATGTCATGGAACCCTGACACAGATGTCCTGTAAACCTGACACTGATGTCCTGTATACCTGACACAGATGTCATGGAGCCCTGACACAGATGTCCTGTAAACCTGACACAGATGTCCTGTAAACCGGACACTGATGTCCTGTAAACCTGACATTTGTAAGCAGTACTCACTCTGTAAACCTGACATTACACTGATAAGCTGTACTCACCCTGAAAACCTGACACTGGTAAGCTGTACTCACCTTGTAAACCTGACACTGATTTCCTGTAAACCTGACATTGATGTCCTGTAGACCTGACACTGAAGTCCTGTATACCTGACACAGATGTCATGGAGCCCTGACACAGATGTCCTGTAAACCTGACATTGATGTCTTGTAAACCTGTCACTGATGTCCTGTATACCTGACACTGATATGCTGTACTCACCCTGTAAACCTGACACTGGTAAGCTGTACTCACCTTGTAAACCTGACACTGATGTCCTGTAAACCTGACATTGATGTCCTGTAAACCTGACATTGATGTCTTGTAAACCAGATACTGATGTCATGTAAACCTGACACTGATGTCTAGTAAATCTGACACTGATGTCCTGTTAACCCTGACATTGATTTCTTGCAAACCAGACACTGATGTCCTGTTCATCTGACACTGATGTCCAGTAAACCTGACACTGATGTCCAGTAAACCTGACATTGATGTCCAGTAAACCTGACACAGATATGCTGTACTCACCCTCTAAATCTGACACTGATATGCTGTAATCACCCTGTAAACCTGACACTGATTTCCTCTAAATCTGACACTGATATGCTGTACTTATCCAGTAAACCTGGCATTGATGTCCTGTAAACCAGACATTGATGACCAGTAAACCTGACACTGATAAGCTGTACTCACCCTGTAAACCTGACACTGATTTCCTCTAAATTTGACACTGATATGCTGTAATCACCCTGTAAACCTGACACTGATGTCCTGTAAACCTGACACTGATGTCCTCTAAACCTGACACTGATAAGCTGTACTCACCCTGTTAACCTGACATTAATGTCCTGTAAACCTGACACTGATGTCCTCTAAACCTGACACTGATATGCTGTACTTATCCAGTAAACCTGACATTGATGTCCAGTAAACCTGACACTGATGTCCAGTAAACCTGACACAGATATGCTGTACTCACCCTGTAAACCTGACACTGATGTCCAGTAAACCTGACACTGATTTCCTCTAAACCTGACATTGATATGCTGTAATCACCCTGTAAACCTGACACTGGTAAGCTGTACTCACCCTGTAAACCTGACACTGATGTCCTGTAAACCTGACACTGATGTCCTCTAAACCTGACACTGATAAGCTGTACTCACCCTGTTAACCTGACACTGATATGCTGTACTCACCCTGTAAACCTGGCTTTAATGTCCTGTAAACCTGACACTGATGTCCTCTAAACCTGACACTGATAAGCTGTACTCACCCTGTAAACCTGACACTGATGTCCTGTAAACCTGACACTGATGTCCTCTAAACCTGACACTGATAAGCTGTACTCACCCTGTCAACCTGACACTGGTAAGCTGTACTCACCCTGTTTCCTCTAAATCTGACACTGATATGCTGTAATCACCCTGTAAACCTGGCATTGATGTCCAGTAAACCTGACACTGATTTCCTCTAAACCTGACACTGATATGCTGTAATCACCCTGTAAACCTGACACTGATTTCCTCTAAATCTGACACTGATATGCTGTAATCACCCTGAAACCTGACACTGATTTCCTCTAAATCTGACACAGATATGCTGTAATCACCCTGTAAACCTGACACTGATATGCTGTACTTATCCAGTAAACCTGACATTGATTTCCTGTAAACCAGGCATTGATGACCAGTAAACCTGACACTGATGTTCTGTACATCCGACAATGATGTCCTCTAAAACTGATATTGATAGGCTATACTCACCCTGTAAATCTGACACAGATATGCTGTAATCACCCTGTAAACCTGACACTGATATGCTGTACTTATCCTGTAAACCTGGCATTGATGTTCTGTTAACCTGACACTGATGTGCTGTAAACCTGACACTGATGTCATGTTACACTGACACTGATGTCCTGTAAACCTGACACTGATGTCCTGTTACCCTGACACTGATGTGCTGTAAACCTGACACTGATGTCCTGTTACACTGACACTGATGTCCTGTAAACCTGACATTGATGTCCTGTAAACCTGACATTGATGTCTTGTAAACATGACACTGATATGCTGTATTCACCCTGTAAACCTGACACTGATAGGCTGTACTTACCCAGTAAACCAGACATCGATGACCAGTAAACCTGACACTGATGTCCTGTTAACCTGACACTGCTGTCCTGTAAACCTGACATTGATGTCCTCTAAACATGACACTGATATGCTGTATTCACCCAGTAAACCAGACACTGATGTCATGTAAACCTGACACTGATGTCCTCTAAACATGACACTGATATGCTGTACTTATTCTGTAAACATGACACTGATGACAAAAAAAACTGACACTGATATGCTGTACTCTTCGTGTAAACCTGACACTGATATGCTGTACTCACCCTGTAAACCTGACACTGGTAAGCTGTACTCACCCTGTAAACCTGACACTGATGTCCTGTAAACCTGACATTTGTAAGCTGTACTCACTCTGTAAACCTGACATTGATATGCTGTACTTATCCTGTAAACCTGGCATTGATGTCCTGTAAACCTGACACTGATGACCAGTAAACCTGACACTGATGTCCTGTTACCCTGACACTGATGTGCTGTAAACCTGACATTGATGTCCTCTAAACCTGACACTGATAAGCTGTACTCACCCTGTTAACCTGACACTGATATGCTGTTCTCACCCTGTAAACCTGGCATTAATGTCCTGTAAACCTGACACTGATGTCCTGTAAACCTGACACTGATGTCCTGTTACCCTGACACTGATGTGCTGTAAACCTAACATTGATGTCCTCTAAACCTGACACTGATAAGCTGTACTCATCCTGTAAACCTGACACTGATATGCTGTACTCACCCTGTAAACCTGGCTTTAATGTCCTGTAAACCTGACACTGATGTCCTGTAAATCTGACACTGATAAGCTGTACTCACCCTGTTATCCTGACACTGATATGCTGTACTCACCCTGTAAACCTGACTTTAATGTCCTGTAAACCTGACACTGATGTCCTCTAAACCTGACACTGATAAGCTGTACTCACCCTGTAAACCTGACACTGGTAAGCTGTACTCACCCTGTAAACCACCCTGTAAACCTGGCATTAATCTCCCGTAAACCTGACACTGATGTCCTCTAAACCTGACACTGATAAGCTGTACTCACCCTGTTAACCTGACACTGATATGCTGTACTCACCCTGTAACCCTGGCTTTAATGTTCTGTAAACCTGACACTGATGTCCTGTAAACCTGACACTGATATGCTGTACTCTCCCTGTAACCCTGGCTTTAATGTCCTGTAAACCTGACACTGATAAGCTGTACTCACCCTGTAAACCTGACACTGGTAAGCCGTACTCACCCTGTAAACCTGACACTGGTAAGCTGTACTCACCCTGTAAATCTGGCTTCAATGTCCTGTAAACCTGACACTGATGTCCTGTAAACCTGACACTGGTAAGCTGTACTCACCCTGTAAACCTGGCTTTAATGTCCTGTAAACCCGACACTGATGTCCTGTAAACCTGACACTGGTAAGCTGTACTCACCCTGTAAACCACCCTGTAAACCTGGCATTAATCTCCCGTAAACCTGACACTGATGTCCTCTAAACCTGACACACGTAAGCTGTACTCACCCTGTAAACCTGACACTGGTAAGCTGTACTCACCCTGTAAACCTGACGCTGGTTAGCTGTACTCACCCTGTAAACCTGGCTTTAATGTCCTGTAAACCCGACACTGATGTCCTGTAATCCTGACACTGGTAAGCTGTACTCACCCTGTAAACCTGACACTGGTTAGCTGTACTCACCCTGTAAACCTCACATTAATGTCCTGTAAACCTGACACTGATGTCCTGTAATCCTGACACTGGTAAGCTGTACTCAACCTGTAAACCTGACACTGGTAAGCTGTACTCACCCTGTAAACCTGACACTTATGTCCTGTAAACCTGATACTGTTGTCCTGTAAACCCGACACTGGTAAGCTGTACTCACCCTGTAAACCTGACACTGGTAAGCTGTACTCACCCTTTAAACCTGACACTGGTGTCCTGTTAACCTGACACTGGTAAGCTGTACTCACCCTGTAAACCTGACACTGGTGTCCTGTAAACCTGACACTGGTAAGCTGTACTCACCCTGTAAACCTCACGTTCACATCCAGACCTGTCTGTAGTTTATGTATGACTGCCATGGCATCATGCATGTTCTGTTGGTAATTTAGCTGCACAGCCTCGGATGTGTCCTACAAATTCCAAAACAGAGATGTTCTATGACAAGAAAAAGTTGAGTGACAAAACCATAACCCCTAAGCTTTTCACTTTTAACAGATCAGATTGTGGTGTCTGACATACCAACAAGAATGTTCAAAAGATGAACTTCTGGCAAGCATTGCAGTGGTTTGACATGTGACCCTCTGCTGTGACCTTGACCTGTGTATGGCAGAAAGCAAACTGTCCTGGCAAGATATACATATTAATGAAGTTTCACAAAATAATTTTAGTAGATCAGAGGTTACGACCATGGTATAGTTAAGCGTTGTAGTAATATGACCTTTAACAATAGCTTTTTTATCTTGACCATGATGATTTGGACCTGCAAGTGGTATATATGTGCACACCACCTGGTCATAATACATACCAATTTAAGTACATTGGACATGTATGAAGTGTTCCACCTAATTTCAGGTAGTTCAGGTAGTTCAAAAGTTATGCTCCATACAGGTGCATGTATTGCAGTGATTTTATAAATGACCTTTTGCTTCTTACATTTGGGTATGAAACTGCGACTCTGTGTCATGAATACAAAAAAAAAAGTTCAATCATAACACATTAATGCCTATGAAATTATATCCAGTAACTGAACAAGATTGATTTAGTCCCTAACTTTCAGAACTAACTTCCTATAACACACTTTTATCTTTAATATGATCCAAATTGTGCATTAATTGCAGTCCTTGAATTGCTTATCAGTTAAGTTTTGGTAAATTTTAAATCTCTTTTTCGACATCTTCTTTTGGTCATGCAAAAAATATATATTCCTGTTTTATGTTATTTCACAGATACTTATGTTTATTTTAATAATATGTAGTATTCTAGAAGTAATAAATCTCTGTTCAACAAATTATTTAATTAATACAAATGTTTATAGATTAAAAACAAACGGTGCATTAAATCTCTTATAAGCATATCATTGTAGGACCCTTCAGCATGGTACATTTTGTATTCCTTTATGTATACATATAATACACTAGGACAATGCCATTTATTTAATGAAGTTGTCATGCTTGTGCCTTACCTGGGTTTTGGGTGCATTTTCAAGAATACAATTGCCAATATAGGTCATCAGCTGATCAGGTGTTATAACTTCTGTGTTCGGAGGCAGGTGAACTTGACACTTCAGTAGTAACACATTCATGACAGCTATCAAGGGACAGGGTCCATTCTCGTTCTGTGTTATTGTAGGTATTTCCTTGTTTTTATAGGCAATCCACTTTACATGGTAAACATTTCCATCTGTCGAGGAAGGTGAAGCACTGGCCCCCTCTCCTGCTTCATTTAACTCTGATATCTCAGTTTCTGTTTTTGGATGTGCCTCTGCTGACAGGGGAGGCAACTCTACCTTCAAGTTTTCATCTTTTGTATTATTATCACTAAATTGACTGTCAATGCTGTTATCTGTCAAAAATTCATCAATATTGTCTATAGGTGTGGTAGAACTGGATGAAGATGTTTGTCCATCGCTATTGTCAGTTTTATTTGTCCGGTTGTCTTCATCACAATCACATTTTAAATTAAAACTGTCAGTATTGTCTGTCACATCACATTTAGAATCAGCTTCTCCTACTTTTAGATCTGTAGCACCACATGTAGAGTCGGACTCCTGTGTCTTTCCAGATGTCTGAGTTTGTTTTCCTTCTTTTTCACTACAAGCTGCTTGTAATATTATTTCTGAAGATAAAATAAAAATATAATGTAACCAATTCAAATAACATAATATCTAATCTAATTTATGACAACGACAAATGCAGTGATTGATGATGGTTCACTGAAAGGCATTGCAGGTTAACAGTTACATATTTATTTCCCAGTTACAAGTACTACACCAGCCTTATATCTTAATGGAGCATATAAAAGTTGTAGCTGTGAACATCAAGACTTTTACTCAAGGCAACACTAAATAATATATAAACAATGGAAGAATCCATATTAGCATATAGATGACATATGGGTCAGTTCTAATAGAATTGTTATAGATCCCCTTCTATGATACACTGCATGCACAAATGCTCTCATTCATGTTTCTATTTATCAGATAGTGCTGAGCTATATTGGTTTAAATAAAAGCATCCTCTGATGCTATCACACCAAGCATTAAATCAATCTTCCCTACAAGATGCATGTAAATCATTAAATAAGCTACATTTGCAGTGAAAAAATGTATATAAGGAAATATGCATTACTATATAGATATATATCATAAAAGCAGAAAAATTATCCTTACGGACGAAGAAATAATGTAAAAAGAAACAATCTCAACGAGTCTTAAGTACCGGTACTTTCATCTCTTCTATAAGATTCTTCAGACTGTTTATTTAAAGTAGATGTTGAGACGTCATTGTTTATGACGTCACAACATCTACTTCAAATAAACAGTCTGAAGAATCTCCTAGAAGAGGTCGAAAGTACTAAAGACTCGTTGTTGAGACTTTTTCTTTTTTACATTATATATATTTATATATATATACTGCTGAAGTAAAGTGAACTTATGTGGCTTATAATTAATAATAAACTTATATACCTTTAGAAAGAACTTAAACTAACAAATGTTAGATTAACAGGTTGAGGAAGTTGTTTTATAGTACATTCTATATAACATTCATATATCAGAAAATCATATATAAACACTTACACACACAAATATGTATTGTAGCAACCTAGTCACAAATATTGATCTGAAGAAAACATGCATCCCATATCATACTATGTGAAATGAGATAAAATCAATGAGTTTCTCTAATAAGTTTTCTGCTTTTCATGTACATGGAATGTACATAAACATTGACTGATAATGTGTGCATATATATACTTGTACATGTACCGGAGTGTCACTCTAAATGACTGGTAGTACATCTAAATATATGCTCAGTGGGCTCGAACTATGGCAAATGTGCATGTATTTTAGGACCAAATAATATAAATTCATGTTTCAATCTTGAAATTAGGGGGTTGGCCAAGAAAGTTCACTGTGTAAGATATGACAAATATGACAACATTGATCTAATGGGATTATGTTGTACTATGTAGACTGTCATTTGAAAGCAGAAAGACAGTATATTATGATCATGCTTCTATAGCCCGGCCACAACATGAATATTTATATTTTGGATATTCTGACTTTCTGATCCTTTGCAATCCTATATATATATATATATAATCAATGAAAATATCACCATCAAACTAATTAATTTTTATTTCTATAATAATCACTGGCAAGTATAACATTTTAGACAAGGCATACATGTTTTCAACTTAATTATTCAACTCTGAAATTATGTAAACACCATAACCTTCAATTAAAAATAAAAGCACCATCATGTGATCATATAATGATGACAAACTCTAATGGAATGTTGATATAACGTTTGATGATTTAACAGCAAATATGCCATATATGAATACAATATTTATGTTTCGTATTAGTAAACATTTATAGAGTTTATTCAACAATAAAATGAATTAGGATTTATGCTAGTTTTGCAGAAGGAACCATGCACTGAAGAAAAACTTTGGTCAGTGATAAAGATGAAACCGTTCACTTTGTATGGCTTGACACGTCCGCTAAAAATCGTATATCTATAATAAGTAGGATAAGTTTTACGTTAAGAAAACAGAATATGTTATCGCCAAATTAAGCTGATAAAAAACAGGATACGAGTGAACCAGCTAGCTTCAATATAGGCTACCTGACTTGGGGGCGCTTTGGTCACAAGTTTTCCCCTCACCCTCAGGTGCTTCCGAACCCTCAGACTTGTTTACGTTTGTTGGGATTTCCTCAACGTTGTCACCAGTTGCAGTGCTGATATTATCATTTGAATTTCCTGTTACGTCCGATTGTTTGATTTGTACTTCTGACATCTTCTTGGTATTATATTTAACATTAAACACACAAACAATCTGTACGCGTTTTTTCAGTGTGGTCAATTCGTTTTCCTCTCCGCCATATTTATCGATTGTCAAATGACTCGCCCCTGCTACTACTGTATCATCAATATACTCGCGTCTAACATCGAGCTATTTCCCAGGGGTTCACGACAGGGGGAGCGGGAAAATGCCATTCAGAAAATATGAAAATAAATTCTAGTTTTCCTATTCAGCCCGGTTAGAATAACCTTCTTGTCTATTCAGTTTGCATTGTTTCAATGTCATAGTTCTCTTATGTCTGTCTATTCGTATGCCAGATACTTAATAAACTTCATTGGTACTCCTGAAGGGCAAGAGGGACGAAGCTCGATATTCAACAACAATCGCCATCTTGTGCAAAGTTCTAAAACTTGGGACCTGTGTTTTGAGTATAAAATAAGATCGGCTACATCTCACGTGGAAGATACAGAGCCGGTGATGGCATATTTACAATAATTTCGCCTTATTAGTGACTGAGCAAAAGTGAAAAACGAACAACTACAAAGGTGCTATTTGGAAGACCAAAATACAGTGGACTGAATGAAAACAAATCGGGATTCCACAGAGACTCAGTTGAGTAGATGTACTGGTATTAACGTTAAGCTCTTTATTCTGTTACGCGTCTTTCCATAAAAATAATCTGAAGAAATGTGTAAAGTATTAATGTCATAAACGTCTAGGAATCTGACATGCAGTGATCAGTGGTTGCTGGATACAAGATAAAAACATTACAGATCCGGTGACAAAGCGAATGTGGATCAGCAACACTGATAAAAGAACGTGCAAAGATCACGATTTTCGGTAAGTAGATTTGTTATAAACATGTGTTTAAGGGTTTCTTTGAATCTAGGGCAATGGATAACCCCGTGTGTCGGAGGGCTGCCAAGGGATGATGTCTGTTTTCGCCTCGTCCCCACAAACTCGGTAGGGACTGTAATGACAACATTGAAAGTTGCAGTGTTCGGTTGTAATATTTGCTTTCCTTCTGAAACAGCTGCAACCCCGACTTACACTTGAAAACTAACGTGGAAGGAATATCTTTTCACGACAAATTTACCAAGATTTTTATCTGGTACTCTTTGCCCTTTCACGTAGCCCCCTTTATCGGGTTTATTTGACCGCAAAAGCGATTTCGTGGGAACACCTGCTCCCCAAAAATGGCATCTACCAATCAAAACCGGTCATTGGCTATTCCGTTAACCCCCAGCGCGTGATTGTGTTTTATTATGTTTCATACATGTGCTCACTTTTCTGCAGGTATTATAAATAAAGCATAAGCATTATTGGGTGAGGAGGTTGCTTCACTTGAATGCTGTCTCCGTACTGTATAGAGCGATACTGACACTTTTATTACCAAATGCATTACCAGGGAGGATAATAGAACAGCCATTGACTATTGTTCTCACGGTATCAGGATGCAAATGTGTTTTCCCACGGGTGTTTCTTTCTAGTTTTCGAGTTACGTTACAACCAGACTTTCTCATGCGAATGTACGCCAATAGTAGACCTGTAATTGATTTCAGCAGCATGGTTCCTTAGCTAACAAACGTGGTGGTGAATATGACAGTTTGATGCTTTGAAGGAAAGTGTGTCTTAGACTTGAGACCTAGAGTAAACTTCAAAAGACTTTCCTAAGTAGAAGCAATATTGTCAGTAAGCGGCAAGCACTATGAATACTTTAATTTCAACAAACTCGGATGTTTAATCGACGAAGCTGTGATATCAAAATGAATGAACGACAGTTATTCGTTCCTCAGGTAAGTCAGATAAATTTAAGATTTTAGGTGAACCTGTTATAATGAATCATGTACAATGATATTGTAAACTTGTAAACAAATCACTTGAATTGTGCGGAAACTAGACTAAGGATGGTATCCTTCCCGGCCATAATAGACGTGAGTACAAGCCTTTCAGTGGTATGAACAGGGACCCCATTTGTTGCAAGGTCAGGGGCGTGGGAATATTCTATGACAACTAAGAAAAGGAGGTCTTTGTTCAGTACTCAACCGTCAACGGTCTAAATGCAACACACTGTTGACTTGTAGTGTTTAGCAAATTAAGTATTGTCAGTAAAACACAAAATATGAATCATGATGTTCGTTACGTTGTAGATAATATAAATATTATTTGGTTTAAAATTATTATATTAATCTTATCAATGATTTCTTAAATATATTTTCATATTAATTACCATGAAATTTTCAAAAGCATACTACATATGTACAAAATACAGATAACCACCAGACGTCGAAGATATTTAAAGATTATATATGTACTATAATAGAAAGTGTGAAATCAATTATTGATTGATAAGTATAATTATGGTGAATAGCAGTTATTGGATATCATATCGATAGTTTCTGTTTAAATTCAAGGTATTAAAGTATTCAGTCATTCCAATTACGAGTTGTTTTGAGTGTTAAAAAGATGTCCAAGACTTTCACAAGATAGTTATAGGTACCTGTGAAATTTAACTTCTGTAACCTTAAACAAAGGACATTCAGGCTTATTCAACATAGTATTCAGTTTATTAAGCAATGTTTTTCTTCTTAAATTTAGGCAACAACTTGTGCCTGCATGCATGAGTTAGGAAAATAAAGTATTAAATTTTGAATTAATGAAAATTGAAAATATTAAATTTCATCCTTTTGGGAAATTGAAGTACTTTTTTGTTTGCGAAGCAATAATTGTTTTTGGCTGTAAAACAGAATGTTGTTAACAGAATATGAAATTACTGGTTATAAGAAATATAATGTCTCACAATTGATTGTCTGTTTTATTGATGTCAGTGGTATGTTGTACTGCTTAAAAGTAATCAATTATAGACAACCTTGTACATGTATATATTCTTATGAATGTTAAGGTTCTTCTTTCCAGAATAAAACATTACAAAACAACTTTTATTACATTAGAGATGTCTAGCTTACATTGTTCTAACCATGCATATTCAAGAGTTTATTTTTGGGCTGAAATCGCTGCATGTATTCCCAAATTCCAAAAAAACAATCCAATTACCAACTTAACAATTAAAATGTGTATTGTAAGTTTGTTGTATATGTGTACGAATATTATTTACAACAATACACTGAACAATTACAATCATCAGTAGGAACAGCATACTTGAGAAAAATACTGAAATATACTGCGACATTGTAATGATCTGGTAAATGTTGCGAAACTAATGAGTTATTTATTCACCAATTCCAAATTCAACATTTGAAAATGATAGATTCAATGCTTTGCACAATTATCTCCAAACCCCTGCACTGAAAAATAATCCATTGTCACCAAGATTCNGGGGGGGGCAATACAACTATATCTTGACCAGCTGTTGACATATCCATTCATGTAATCTTCAGTATGGCTAAATTTGACAGATTACATTGTCTGAGGGTGATGTCTTGCACAAAAGCTAGCTAACATGCCTTGCACTAGGCTGTGTACCCAGTGCTATCAGAGGACCAACACAAGCTACATAGTTTTGTATGGGCTGTTATGATTTGACATTTGATGTCTCCCTGAGGGTACAATGCTGTCTTTGACTGGAGCTAGAGAAGGAGAATAAATGATAAGAAATACATTGTGTAGTTTGCATGTACTGTAAATGAGAATGATTGTGTAATGTTATGAGTTATATAAAATTGATAGCAATTTCTCCTAAAACAGAAACTAGATTTCAAATTATCGAAAATTAAAAAGCCTCCAGCACTAATAATGAGAAGAATGCAGTTTATCTATGTTTACTACATTTTCATATTTTTCATTGATTTTGACAATAAATTTGTACCATCTTTATATATATTGTGTTTGTTCTTCATAAGATTTTTAATAAAATGAAAGTTAGAGTGGATTGGTCATGTTGTGCAGTTGATATAACACACTGGTCTTTCACTAAGACATCTGGAGTTTGATTGCCGGGTTCGATGCGACCAGAAAAGGTATTGGGTCACCTGCCCGACTACAATTATATCATTATCATTTTCCCTTAATGAATTTCTATAATTTACGACTGATTTTGGTTGGTTTATGTGATTATCTCATAAATTACAACTGAGCAGAATTTAGGTGGCTTATGCGCATGCTTTATATAAGTAGTCTCAAAACTCGCATATGATTTTAGTAGGTTTATAAAGTGATATCACAACTGAATTCTGTATGTTTATATATAGTGATCTTGTAACTATAACTCACAGCTGATTTTGATGGTTCATTTATCTCATAATTCTGAGTGGTCTTTCGTAGTGATCAGGTACATGACAGCTGAATTTGTCATGATTATATGATGGTCTACCAAAATAGGACTTTGATAGGTTGATATAGTGATCTCCTAAAACTTATATATATAACTCGGTTGACTTCTGTAGGATAATATGTATAGTGATCTTCTAAATCACAGTTGACTATGGTTTTTAATATTTTTTGGTATTCCCGATAATTAGTGCCCCCTCCCCCCTTTTTTTCCAAGAGGATTTGAAATAATATCAGAACTACTACTAGTAAGTTGAGATTGAAGAAGGGTGATCAGGGCTGCAACAATATATCCTATTGTATCATATTGCGGTACTCTCTTGTGTATCATATCATATTGTTTTGTTTGCCTGTATTGTGATATACTAATTAACAGTACTGAATTATCAAACTCTAAAAAGTGTACTTCAATTTTTGGAATCCTTCAGTTTAAGACGTAGTCCACTGCGCATTCGTACCCAAAAGTACTAGAAAACATAGAAAAATATATTTGGAAAACCTGATGAAATCCTGCACTAAATCATTATGAGGTTGTCCTTTTGAAGCAAATACCATAGTGATGCATATTGTATTGTAAGGATCATATATACTGCGATATGTATCATGTCGATGTGAGGTATGCGTATCAAAATACGTTGCAGCCCTACTAGTGATCATGACTGGACTTTGCACGAAAGTGGATGAAACATTGGAAATCCAAACCTCCAGCCGTACTGGAATGATTTGATTGTAGGTGCACGACTTGTTCTATCATAACTCGCATATTGTTATCTTAACAAGCGCCCCGCCCCCATTTAAGGTCATATTTAAGCGCCATTTGCACCTAATTGTAGTTCAGTTCAGTTCTTTATTACCTTGAACCTATACAGCTCATCAGAGTGAATATGGTATGCTAGATAAATAAAGGGGTAAATTAGGGGTCTAATGACTAACACCTGACCTTGGTGGGATTATATACATGTATATTGTGGTTGGTTTATTTCTCAGTCGTTTCATAAAACTTACATCTCATTTTAGTGGGTTAATATATTGATCTCAACCATAACTCATAGTGACTTTGATAGATTTAAATATAGTGATGTAAATGTTGAAATCATTGCAGGTTTATATACTGTTATATTACTCTTAGTTGACTTTGGTAGATATAACTCAGATTTTAACTTGGTACACTTAGGTAATTGTTAAATAGTAGTCCTATAATGCAACTCCTATTTTAATATGGTAGGTAATTATAATTGTTTAGCAAATGTAAATGAAAATGATGAACCGCTGTTAATGATTAATTTATAAATTGGAACAAGTGTGATACTGATTTAAGTAATGGAGTGAATACATAGAAATTTTATAAGATTTTAGATTTTGTTCCTAAGATCATGTGTTTCTATTTTGAGGATTTTGTTTTATTAAGTGTAAACTTGAATTTTCATTTCAACAAAGAAATGAGTCCTTTCAAATTTGATTATGTTAATTGGTTTCTTATTTACTAAAATACATTCAGTACAGAAAATCCTTTTCCTAGTATGTTACTGCTGACTAGGATTTTCCATAAAAAATTGTTAAAGAAGGCATCCTGTTGTAAGATCTGGCTACAGAACTGTAATGACAGGGTACACCGACACAAAATCTGATATTCATAGACAGTGGATGGGTGACTAATTATGTTTCAAGCTTAGTAAACACAGCAGTGATTTAACACTGAAATTCCCAGCCCACATCAGAAACATCAATAATTCACACCAGGAAAGGTAATATCCTCGCTTCCTAATTACACAAAAATAGTAATACAATTATTGTAATATAATGGGCAAAACAAACATGGTCTCAGTGTCCATTGGGTTTTTAGATGTTGGTCTATTCAATTTCCTATTTGCCCCGTTGTATCCGGCTATATATAGTAAACTCTATCATTTGATAGTCAATTGTTTAAGCTATATACACAGTACAACTGGTATCCCATATACTGGTTATATAGTATATAGTATATTTACTTATATATGAAGTTGTTGCACATTTTCCCAAGAAATTTGTGGATTGAACTTCAAAGTCCAGAATATCTTTACACTAAGGAGTGCCCCTGGAGAGCTGCCCTGCCCCAGTGGATCACTTGGAGAGGATGCTGGTACACTTACAACCACCTTGTTGACCCCGACAAATGTAGCTTTCTAAAAAGCCTACAACAGATCTGTATAGACTTGTGGTAATCTAATTGAGGGTAAATGATGCATAGCATTTCCCATGGCCTGGATTTCGCTCTAGCCTGGCACTGTCTCACTCTAACTGTATTACAGGGAAACTGTGTCAAACCTTCTAACCCTTACAGAGTCTGCATGTGTGTCACAGCTGTAGGGATCCCCGGACCTCATGTACTAAACGTTGTAGCTGTATGTGTGTACAGAAGTGCCGTGTAGGTTTTTTGGGACCTTGACTTTTGCTAATGGAGACAAAGATGTTTCAATAAAAGAAGTCTTATACTTCCATGTATCTTTGTGAAAATATTTAATTCCTTCTC